GAGTTAAAGCTGAACATTCCATATAACAAACAGCTTTAATATCTTTTGCGAGTTTTTCACCTTCTTCAGTTGTTATTGGTTTTTGGTTTTCATCAGCTAATTTTCTGATCATAGCTTCATCATTACGACAATCAGTTTTTGTTCCAACTACCATCATTTTACATTTTGGTTCATAATGTTTAATTTCTGGTAACCATTTAGATGAAATATTATTAAATGATGTTCTTGATATAACTGAAAAACATAATAAGAAAAGATCAGTATTTGGATATGATAATGGTCTTAATTGTTCATAATCTTCTTGTCCTGCTGTATCCCATAGTCCTAAATTAACTGGCTTTCCATCAACTGTCATTGGTGCCATGTAATTATCAAATACTGTTGGTACATAATCTTTTGGAAATTCATTGGTTGTATAACAAATTAATAAACAGGTTTTTCCAACAGCTCCATCTCCTACAACAACTAATTTAACACTTGTTGCGTCTGTTTGTGCAGCCATATTTGATATTTATAAGTTCTTACAATTTATTTTTTAGTTTCATTTTTTAATTTATTATTTTTGCTTTTTTTATTTTTTTCTTTTTAATACTTTATGGTTAACACATATTCTTTCTTTTTCTCTTGTTTTCTACTTTCTCTTGTTTTGTAATTTCATTTTGCCATTTATAACAGTCGGTTTTTAAAAATAACATTTTTATATTTAATTTTATGTTTCTATTAAATTTTAATGTCTTTGACTTAAAAAGTCTTCTAATTTAGGTTTTTATGAAAAGTACCTTCTAAAGTAATTAATTGAAATTTCTTTGTTTCTATATTTCATTATGCTAATTAAAAATAATTTTCATTATTTCATTTTAACTATAATATATAAGTAATTTGATAACAAACAATTAAAAGAAAGTTTTGTAGTAACTTCTATATTTATATTCTTTTTGAAAATTTTTTTTAATTATTATCATATATTATTAATGCATATGTTGTTTATAAACTCTTTTAATGAATGTCTTGTCTTGTTAAGCAAATACAATTAATAAACAATATATTGTTGGAACTACTATTATTATTGATTCTAATTCTATTTATATGTTTAACTTATAGAATTTTTTTTTTCATTTGAAAATGTTTTATTACGTCATCATTTTATATTTAATTTTAGTACAAAACTCTTTTATTTTTAAATAAGAATGAAGATTTTTTTACAATCTCATGTGATTTTTTGAGATTGACGAAAATTATATCCAGTGTTTGTTTTGCAATTAACTACACTTGTTAAGTATTATGAAATATAAAAACAAAAGAGGTGTGAGAAACATTACATAGAAGAGAGAAAAGGAGTGAAGGATAAAACAAAAGGGAACTGAAAAAAAAAGAAAAAACTAAATGTTTAAAGGCACATCAATTGAACAAGACCCACACTTTTCTGACAAACATGAAAAATTGAAGAAATCAATGACATTTCCAGAAAACTTCTATCAGAAAGTAGATTTTAAGAAAGTCAATATTGAAGTAATGAGAGCATGGATTACATCTAAAATAATTGATATATTAGAAGTAGACGACGACATTCTTGTTAACACAATAGTAGGGTTTATTGAAGAAAATGTTTGGTATTTCTTGTTTAAAACAAAAGAAAAAAAAGACTCACATATAGGGAAATGAAACAGATCCTCGTGATTTAGAAATTGATTTAGAGGCATTTCTTGGAGATAAAACAAAAGAGTTTGTTGAAGAATTATGGAGTTTGTGTCAGATGGGAGAGAAAAGTAAAGATGGTATTCCAGAATGTCTAAAGAAAGCAGCAGAAGAACGTGAGGCAAAAGAAAGAAGAGAAAAAGAAAGAGGGAGATATCGATCAAAGTATCGAAGGACAGAAAGGAGTGAGAGTCGAGAAAGAAATAAAAAGAAGTAAATTTTGATTATTTAATTGTGTTTGTCATTAAGTTTTATTTATTATTTCAACAGAAGTTACTGAGTTAGATGAAGGTTTAAAACAAAAAAGAAAAAGAAACAAAAGAAAATAATGTTATTGTATTTCAAGTTAGGTAAAAATAGAACAAGGAAAGAATAAAGAAATAGTAAAAAGAGTTATAATTACTTAGAAAGAAAGACAAAAGAAAAGAACAAAAAAAACTTTGAATAACAGAGATGGATGTTATTGATTTGAAACAAACAGAAATTTTTTCAGTAGAACTGACAGAATTACATCAGTTAGTGTTAAATGAAGCACAACGAGGAGTTGCTATTCAAAATAATCCAAAAGAGTCTGACACATTTTCACTTCATGAAGATGAGAATTATGCGAGTGCGTTAAGACGTGTGATTGTATTTATTCGATCGAAGTCTACAAATATGTTAGGAGAAGTAGTAAAAATATCATCAAGTAATCAAGAAGAATTAACGTATGAAACAATTGTAGCAAATATTTTCATTGCAGATGTGATGATATCATTTTATTTGTATTGTGGATGGATGGATCAATTAACCGAGAAATTAGCAGATAAAATGGTAGGAAGATTAAAAATTATTGGAGATAATATTAAAGCAATAAAAAATGAAACAGTATTTGATGTTGCATATAAAACAATGATTAATCAATGGAGTTCATTAGTTAAACTTCTTTCATTAGAAAAACAATTTAGAACAATATGGAGTTATTTCTTTGGGTATTGGAAAGATCCTAATACAGAAAATTTTGCTACTCGTGTTCGTTTATTAAGGTTTATTCAATTTTCAAAAAATGAAACATCAGATGTTAAAATAGTTGAAGGAGTTCTTAAAACAATAGCACTTTCAGTAAAATCAGCAAAGAAAGTAGAATTAAAAGCAGAAATAATGGAGGTATTAGAAAATTTAATGTTTTCATTACCAGAAGGATCATTTGGAAAAGAGTTAAATACAGTTCATAGTATTGTATCACCATTTTTTAATAAATCATTTGAAATGGAATGTCATGGATCAAAGATAGAAGCAATTATTCATATGAAGACAAATTTATCAGAAATTCAATCAGTAACAAAATATATTAGTGGACTTAATGAAATTAATGCAAAAACAGAACCTATTTTAAATTATATTGAAACGTTATGTAAAGGAGTACATGAAAACACAGAATTATATATACCAGATTCATATTATAATCTTCCAGATGAAGCAAAAAAAAGAATTTCACCTTTTAGAGTTTTACCATTAAGAAAAGAAGCAGAAAAATATATACAAGCAATTATGGGAGTTGTTGTAAATTGTCCTGCTAAGGTAGAAAAAGAAGAAATTGAAAGAAGAGCTAGAAAAGTAGTATTTTGTGCAGCACATAGTCTTCCAATTACATATCGTATTCTTGATTCATTTTTTGAAGATAAAGAAGATTATTTAAGTCTTAGTGTTATGTATAATGCATTACATTTAATTGTTAATGATAGATTTTTATGGATTAATGTTGAAGAAGAAAAAGAAATACATGCAAAGAAAAAAGTACTTGCACTTGGTAAAAGAAAATTTATAGAACTTTATCAAAATGTTTATGATAAAGTAAAAGAAAATGATTCATATACAAATGTTACAAGACCATTATCAATTCCACATCATATTAAAGAATTTATGGCATCTAATTGTGCTAATGATACATATATTAAAGCTACAATGTTTGAAGCAGTTAAACGATGGAGAGAAATTCAAAAAGGAAAAATGGCAGCATTAGATGTAAAGAAAATACGAGATACAGAATTAGAAGTAGTTAAAATATTAGAGACATGGGGAAATGAAGTTAAAATAGAAGGAATTACAACAGGAATTAGTACAGTTAAAAAAGAATTTTTATCAGAAATTCCAGAAGATTTAAAGAATCCCAAAGAAATATTAACAAAAGAAAAACAAGTAGAAAAAAGAAAGAAAGTTGTTAAAGAAGAAAAGATAAAAGAAAAAATAAGTGATGAAATGATTCTTTTTGTACAATTAATTAGATATATTTCAAATCTTCCTAAAATGTATATTATTTATACACAAAAACAAGGTGCATTAACATTCTTTTCATTTTTAACAAGTAAAAGTGATTATTTAGCAGAAGCTGTAATGGAAGCAATTTTTATTATGGTATTTCAAGATCCAACATATAGAACATTAATTGTATGGGATTTAATGAAAGTAATTGTTGATATTATGGAAACTGATATACCATATCAAAATATGATGGAATTTGTTGATGCAGTTATGTGTTTATGGACTGTTAAAAGAATTAATGAAGCTACAAAACGATTTGATGAAAAAGAAAATCAAAGAAAGAAGAAAAAAGGGAAAAAAGAAAAAGGAGAAGCTATTGTTGTATTTACTGAACATTTATCAGAATATATTGAAGCAATTATTACTGTATTACAACAAAGATTTGATCAATCAATTAGAATAGAAACCCCACAATTATTAACATATCTTTATTTTACCTCATTAAAAGATTTTGATAATACAGTATGGAATGTAACACATGAAAATAAAGAATATATTGGACAATATTCAAGATATTTATTCATATTAATGTCTAGTAAGATACCAGATTCATTATTAAATATTAATAAAATGTTACCTAATATAGAACAAGAACAATTACAAGTAACTAATCAACATTTACTTTCAATGGATTATATACAAACATCAATAATTTTAAAATTACTTGAAGAAAATGAAGGAACACATTCAATTGTTCAAAGAATTGCTAAAATAGTTAAAAAACAATTGTCTGGAAAAGAATTAAAAAATGAAATAAGATATAGGTTATTAAATATTTATTTATCTACACTTTGTCTTAAAGGAACAAATAGTATGAGTAATGAAATATTAAGTGAAACATATTCATTGAAAAATCCAGAATTTACAAAACTTGGAGAAGAAGCTACACCAATCCTTAAAAATATCATTAAAGAATTAATGGAAAAAACAGAATATCAAGATCCTAATGAAAGCAATTTAATATATTTATTATCATGTATGCATCCAGATATATTTTATTTCTTTGTAGAACAAGTTAAATCATATGCATTACCATTAGTAATATCAGAAAAAGTTAGTATTGAAAGAAGAAGACAATTAATGTTAACTACAATGATTATTTTAAGTAATTGTTTAATGAAAGACTGTAAAGCTATTTTTTCAAGTGAATTAGGATATGGATTAATGTTAGGTATTCTTTCTATTATTAATGAAGTTTTTCTTCAACTTAAATTACTTTGGCCATCATTTAATATAATAAATACAACAAGTGATTTATTTAATTGTGCATCAAATTTCCCTGCATACTTTGCACAAAATTTTGCAACATTATTATATTATTTTTGTAAAAATATTAAAAAGAATCCAACACTTCATTTAGAAGAACCTACAAATTCAGTACTTCCAATTTCACTTCAACTTCATTTCTTAGTATGGCCTTTAGAACAAAGAACTGATATTTGTCAATATTTAATTAATACATTTATTAATCCACAAATGAAAATGAATCCAATTACTGATGTATTATGTTGTTCAACATTAGAAGCAGTTTGTGGTATTTTTTCATTAGCACCATTATCACTTGGAGAAAAATTCTTTATAAAACCAAAACGGATAGTAGAATTAGAAAAGATGCATTCAGGAATTTTAAAATGGATTATTAGATTCCATCCCGACTTAGTATTTTCAAGAAAAAATCCAGACATTGAAAATATGACAGAAAGTAAAGTTATTATTAAAGCTATTGCAAATGTTTATTCTAAAATATGTCAACCCGAATTTTATGAAAGTGGAGTTAAAGCAATTGATAATAAACATATTGAATTCTTAAAAAAAGTTAATGCACATATTGATATAGAACCAGACCCATTATTTATTGATAATTTAAAAAAATTTGGAGCATCATTATTACATCATTCATTAATTACATTAATGGCAGATGATGAAGATATAAGAGTTCATGCATTTAATGTAATATGTTGGTTATTACCAATTAAATTTGGACTTTCTGATGTTTTTGATCAAAATTTATATGAAAATGTAATTAAGTATAGAGTTGATATTTCTACTACAGTTGAACAAAATAGATTAAAAGCAGCTACTGCTATTTGTGAAATGTGTGTTAAATATTGTAAAGAACATGCCAAAATTGTATTTTATAAAGGTACACTTGCAGGAGGAGGAAATAAATTATCTGATCTTCAAAAAAAATGGCTTGTAACATATAGTATTTATTGGTTACCATATGTTAATTTAGCACAAGATTATACACCTAAAGAATGTAATAAAATTTTAGATATTCTTGTATATGATGTTACTTCAGCAATGACACATAATTCAGATCAAGCAATTATCTTTTGGTCAAGAGTCTGTGAAAAAAGAAATGATAAAGATGATATTCTTGGAGATGAAAATTCAAATTATAATATTATCTTTAATTTCTTAAAAAGTGAATTACCTAAAGCAAAAAATAGAGATTCATTCTTAATTATATTCCAAGCATTAATGAAAATTGATCTTAAAACAACATTTTTAAGAACAGCTCAAGCATTGTCATATGAATTTTCAAGAACAATGATGATATCAAGAGGAACATATAGTGAAAAATATAAAGGACAATATATTGTTATGAATGTATTAAATGATTTTATTGGAGATGGTATTTTTGTTGAAGATTCTGGTGTTCATTATATGATTGTCTTTTCTATTCTTATTTGTTATGCTGTTCAAGATAAAAAAGAAGTAGAAGTATTCTATAATTTTATTAAGAAATTATGTTATAATTTCTTTGATTCATATTCATCAGATAAAAATCCAGAAGTTGCTAAATGTGGTACAAAATTCTTTACATTAGTTTCAGCACTAGAAATTGATAATATATTAAATAGAGAAACATTACTTGAAATTATGGATAATTTCTGTCAATTATCATTACAT